CCAGCATGGGAGCACTCAGGTCCCCTCTGCCCCAGCAGGTGCTCCAGGGCAGCAGCCCCTGCCATGGGTAGTGGTGACAAGAGGACATGATCCTCACCAAGCACCGAGCTGGTGGCTGGGAAAGCAGCACCTGGGCAAGAGTTGCAGACAACTTTGCTCCTGGTGAGGGGATTCAGGCCAGGCAGATTGAGCTGCTGATGGGGGCAAAGGCTTTGCATCTCAGCAGCGGGGAGGGAGGGGGGACTCTCCAGTCCTCCCGCCTTGGAGCAGGCTGGTAACCGTGGAGATGGCTCTGTGCTAGCCCAGAAGAGAGAGGCTTTGTGCTGTGGCCCCACAGCAAACACTGGTGCAGTCAGGGCTGGTGGGGCGGGCAGCCACCGCACTCAACAGCTGCCTCTGTTCACTGAAAAATGCTCGGTCTCGGCTTGCAGCCCGGCACCCACCTCCCTCTACAGAGCCTTTCTTCTCCTGTGCCACAGTGGGTGGAAGGAGAAACAAGAGGAGGTGTTGGAAGGACATCTGTGTGGGGGGATGACCTGGCTGGGCTGCAAAGCTGAGGGTGGCTGGGGAAGCAGTGCTGCAGCTTGCTGGCACCAAGGGTGCTTTCCTAGAGCAGCCACATGCCCTGATGTGTGTCCCCAGAGAGGAGGATCTGCCCTTGACTGCTGACGTGAAAAGCTGGGTTGTGCATCACTCAGGGTGAGAGAGACAGCCCTGAAGCAGGCATGAGCGTGCACGTGCAATGCGCACACAGGTCGAAAGACATGTGTTTGTAGCCATACAGCCTCTGGGAACAAGCTGCCACTACAGCTGGGGTTGGGACTTGTCCCCAGAACTGTGCTTTCGCAGCAGGGGCAAACACTGTTGTGGAGATGCTGCTATGGAGAAGGTAACAGTGGACACCAGCAGTGCCAGGAGAGGGTGGGTGAGCCACACGTTTGCTCCACCACTGCCAAAGCCCCTCCAGCTCCTTAAATAAAAATGCCGATGACAGCAAAGAGCAGCTTCCCTGGGAGCACAGGGATTCTGGGAGCCTCCACTTTGTGCTGCGCAGCGGGTGGCTGGATTAGGGGGATCTTGTAGCATTATCACCGTGGATCGCGTCTCTCCCTAACGAGGCTAACGGGATTACCCTGGCACACTGGCGGTTCATCCTGCAGCCCTGCTTTGCTGGGCAGCCAGGGAGGATGCGATCACAGCACAAAACCCTGTTTCCCCTTTCAGGAGGCACCACAGCACAGTGTGGTGGGGAAAATGGAAGAATAGTTCTGTAACTTGCAGCTTAGATATGAAAAAAAGAGAGCTCAAGCCTCCAGCTGTGCTGGTCGAGATGCAGCAGGGGCTGTGGGCTGTTTTCCTCCATGTACTTGGCTTCACACCATGCCTGTGCCACTGGAGGTGATGAGCTCATATGTGGCTTGTGTTAGATTCGTTTCCTTCAGGCATGAATGACCCTCAGCATGGGCCAATCCTGAGCCAAAAGCCATGGATGCTAATGATGCTAATGATGGCTGCAGACTGCTCCAGGCCTGCCCTTCTGCAACTCCAGCACTAAACCTGGTGTGAAGCATGGGCAATGTGAGGAGCCCCGTGCTCAGAAGCAGGCAGAGGAAGCTCATGTCTGGATGTGAAAACCAGGCCAATGTGTCCTTAGTTTGCCTCGTTCCACCAGGTGAGGCTCCAGTTCCTTCTCACTTTCCCAGCTGAGGGAAGAAGTGATGCCTGCAATGTTGTGAGGCCAAAGGGAGCTCATTCTGCACAGCTACTTCTCCAGATGTCGTGTCTGGGCTCCCTGCTCCCACCCATGCAGTTTCCCATTGCCTTGCCATGCATGGCTCTGCGTGGCCCTTTGGGCTGAGCTGCTGGTGGTCTCTTTCCCCAGCCTCCATGGGGATGCTCTCCCTGAGCAGAAACTGGCACAGAGACTCTGTGTCACCTGTAATTAGTCATGGCAGCACCGTCTTTGATGAGATGTTGTGAAAGTGGGGAGAGGGGAGCAGCAGAGGATGGAAAGCACAGCTGTGGGTGCTGCTGCATTCCCATGGCCTCAGCTCTCCCCTCTCCCTTCCATGCAGCTACATGTAACACAGGAATATTCTGTTTTAACATGTTAATATGTTATAAACATGTTTTCTGAGCCTCTCCCTAGAACTATGTTGTGGTATTTACTGATTTCTGCAACAGCAGAGGTGTTTCTCCCCTGTCCCAGTGTTCTGTTTGGTAATAGACTGGAAATATAACATGAGACCTCCAGAGCTGAGCACTGGGACCTGTTCTCACTATAACTGAGCAAGCAGCAATCCTTCCTTTTGCTGTAACAGCTCAAAATTTGCTGCGGATTATCCAACTCGATCTGTGGGTTATGAATCTGAAGGAAGAGGAAGGACCGTGCACAGTTGTGTTTTTATTGTGGGCACAGTGCAGGTTCACGGTTGCGGAAATAAGATGCTTGTCACGGCGGTTTGTAGATCCTGATTCATTTGTCCTCCCGCAGCCGAATGCTGTGCAGAGGCATGTGCAGGACCTGTGGAAATTGCATCCGGCTTCAGGTGTGGTTATTTGTCAAACTTGGTTACTTTGGTTGACTTTGGCTTTAAGCTCAGGTTGAATCCTAACTTAGCCTGAGCAATGCTGAGCAGATAACTTCACTCATCTCAGAAGCACATGAGATTTAGTAGCTCTGAACAAGGGCATTGGTTTGGCTTTTGATGGTTTGGTTTATTTTAGCAGCATGTTGAAATCTGCTCTTTAGAACCTAAAGAAGTATTAAAGGTATGGAAAACCCCATTCCCGCCACTCTGGAGACTTTGTTAATTGTCCCTTGGGCTGTGATTAGCACTGTTCCCCTGGCTGGGGCTTGGAGCCTTCCTGTCCGATTTCTAAAACTCTGCCAAAAGTGTGCAGATTTCCCTGGGGAAAGTGGTCCTGCTGAGGCGCAGGTATCTGCAGCCTCAGTGCCCTGGGTGGCTGTCCCTGGTGTCCTACCTCTCTGCCACCCTGCATCTCCTCCCTAGCCAGTGCCACCATTTGGCCTCTCACTTACTGAAATAAACCTCCCTATAAACCTCCTGATAAAGCCTTGAGCACTGGCTGTAGCTGTTGAAACTCCAGGATTGGAGTCGATAAAATCAATATTTCTGCAGGTTGATAGAGTTTCTCCTCCCGATGCCAAACTGACAGAGCAGTAAACAAACCGGCAGACAAAATAAACCCTGCTGTGCCACGGGAAAGGGGTTCACCACCAGCCATGGATAGGGATGGAGGTGTTCGGGCTGTTCGATGCCAAGCTCTGTAGGTGGTTTTTCCCTCCTTGCTCTAATTTCTGTGTCAGGAGCTGAGCACGAGCCGGTGCCCCAAGACTCCCAGCTCTGCTTCGCAAGCACTTTGAGATGTCTCTCATTTGCAGAGCACATATTTGTTATGTAATAAGCGCCAGGAATTAATGATCCGCAGCACGGCTGGGGAAACTTGCGTACTAAGCACCCAAGGAAAAAATAACTTTTCTTTTTTTAAAATCACTGATAGAGCCATTAGGATCTGCGTTTTCTTGCAACGAGACCTCCCCAGCCCCCGGGCACAGCTGAGCCGGAGCAGGGGCTAGCGCCGCCATCTCCTTCCCAACTCTTTACCTTTGGAGAAGCGATGTTCCTGCCGCTCCCGTTATGAATCATGAGGTTAGCAGCTTTTGACAGATCATAAATCAGTGCTTCGAAGTCGCTAGGACAAATCCCAGGACATTTAATCTTTAATATTAGACGTGTTTAAGGCAGTGAATATTTCATGAAGGTGCTGTTGCATTTTAGCACATCATTAGCTGTCTCTTTCCCCACCCCCCCCTCTTTTCTCTTTTTTGCCGCCTCCCCTTTTCCAGGCGGCTCTTCCTCAAAAATCTCAGCAGCTGAACCCCCATCTCGCTCCCTCCTGACAATAAAGCTCTTTACTGTAATCTCTGCGAGGCATTTTAAGAACTTGCCTCAGATCCTGATGAGCATGCAGGTACCTGCCAGTCTGCATTACCGCTGTGATGGGGGTACCCCTGCCCCCCACATCCTCCCCACATCCCACCTCTGCCAGTGTTTACAGCTTAGTCTGCCCCAACATCGGGCACAATGGGTGAGGTGGAGGGGAGGAACTATCTGCAGGAGCTTGAAACACAAACTCCACCTGCAAATCCAATTAATCTTTTGATTTTGCTGTTTCTTGCCCCGGGTTATGTATTTCTACCGAACATGGAATCAGTTTGGGCTAAGCACGATCAGATTTCTGGTGCAGAAAATGTCTTTTCTGGTTGTCAAAAGGGTGTAACAGGGTGAGCCAGCAGCCAGAGAATGAAGGGGAGTGGGGAGGGGAGTGGGGCCAAGAGCCCCTTAGCCATGGGACAGGGGCACAGCCTGCAATGGATGGAGATCAGGGGCTGCTGGATCCTTCTGTGGTAGTTTGGGCTGCAGAAGACTCTCTTGTCCCATTGCCATGTGAGGTGGGAAGGGGACGTGGCCGGGATGGGTTTGGAGTGTCCCCCGACCCGGGAAGTTCATGGAGTTGGACACTGGCTCTCCTCAAATGGGGTCACAGTCCCTGCTGAGGAGTGAACTGCTGGTCTCAGCGCAGCCCCTCTGTCAGATCTATGCAGTCACATCTCTGTGGCGAATGTGAGCTGGTCTTGGTGGTCATCAGGCAGAGTTCTGCTGAGCTGGGGGAGGTGCAGGGCTGCACAGGAACACAGGTTAAGGACAAACTTTTTGCCTCATGAAATCCCATCCCCAGCTGTTGTGAGTGCTCCAGAAGAGCTACAGGTTTCTTGCAGCTTTCTGCATCTCCTCCTCTCCTCCTCTGCATCTCCTGAAGGTTTCAGAAGAATCCAAAGTGCTCCAGACTCATGTTGGAGATCAGGAATGGCCCTGAACCAGCAGAGATGGGCAGCAGGGGAGGAGAGCCCCATGCCATGGTTGCTGCAGTGCCTCTGGGGCAAAGAGGTCTAATTTTCCCCTGTTCTCTTGTAGGAGAGTGCAGCTGCCATGAAGGCTACGCCCCAGACCCTGTCCATCGCCACTTGTGTGTGCGCAGCGACTGGGGACACAGCGAAGGGTGAGTGGGGCTGACCCCCAGGTGATGGTGTGCTCGCTCTGTTGTGGCTACCACACTGGTGAGGGGTCCGGTCTTCTCCCCACCGGCCACCACTGGCACCAAAGACCCAGGAGCGGGCTGTGCCGCTCTCCCTGCCCAGTGACGTGCCACAGCTGCTCTTTCCCTTTTTTTTACGACGCTTGAGCGAGGATACGACTTGGTTACAGGAGAGCAGGCGCCGGAGAAGATCCTCAGGTGAGTGTTCAGCTGGGATGTCTGGGAGGGGAGTGCTGGTGAGGACATCCCAGAGCGGGTGCTATTGCTTGGTCACTACCGGCTCCGTCTTGTTCTGCTGGCTGGGAGACTCCAGTGTCGTTTGCCTTTGACAAACCTGAAAGATTTGTCCATGTTCTGCAGATGGGGAAGGGTTTCACTCTTGTCCCCTTGACCAGACATATCTCAGCAAAAGCAAGGACAGCACACATGTAAAGTCCCCCAGGCTTAAAAGAAGAGCTTGACCATCCTCATGTTCTCCCTGTCACATCTCTAGCTATTCCTCTCTCATTTGGCTTTCAGAACAAGACCAAATGACTAACTTATCCCACGGTGCCACCACTGCTCTGATTTCCAGGTGCTCAGGTGCAATAGAGGGCCACCATTCACTGTGGACACTATGTTCCTATATGACACATTTGTCCTTATTCCAGATCCACCTATAGTTTGGGTCAAGGTTTGTGGCTGCCTGTCAGTAAGAGCTTCGTGGTACCCCCTGTGGAGCTTTCCATCAATCCTCTCGCCAGCTGCAAGACAGATGTTCTGGTGACGGAAGATCCAGCAGATGTCAGGTAGGAAGCAGATTTCTTGTTTGCCTCGTGCTCGACTGACTATGCTGCTCTTTAAATTGTTATTGAGGATGCAGTAATTTCTATGATGATAACTTTGATTCATTTTCTTCCAATAAGAAATGTGATGTGATAGCTCTCCAGGCTTTTTTGGTACTGATAGGTCAGGCTGAGCCTGTGTATATAGCTCTGAAGTCTGCCAATCCAGTCAGGTAAATTGCTGTGAAACTGTGACATGCAATTTTAAAATGGCTTAAATCTAATGTTAGTTTGCACAGCTTAAATTGATGCATTTACCAGTATGGAGGTGCTGTCGTCTTTCAGAAACTCATATGTATATCACATCTGCCCAGCCCTTGAGAGTCTGCTGTGGTGTTCATGAAGGACCAAGGTCAGGCTGCAGTGAAAGAGCATGTTTCTTGTCCAATTATTATACAATTAGATGGGTTTTTTCCCTTCCTTGAGCTCAGTAATTGCCTGGATATTTCTCTGGCTCCCTCTTTTTGTCTAGTTTCTATTTTAACCAGATGTAGTTGGATTTGTGACAGTCTAGTCCAGAAGTGAGACCTAAAAGGGCATTGCAGGAGGAGAATTGCACTGGTGGAAAGGGAGTCTGTTTGCTGAAGGTGGCCAAAGGTGTGTGGGGGTCCCTTGGAAAAGGAGCCAGGTGAAACTGTTGTCCTGTGTGTCCCAGCTGGAATGGGAGCAGCAGCCTCTGCCTTGGAGGAGCGTGGTAGTGATGATTGTTCTCCTCTGCCTGGTTTACAAGAGTTTAACTGTAAACTGCAAGGCTTTAATTCTTAAGGTCTTTAGTGTGTATTCCTCTCCCTCCCATTAAATTAAGGTTGAGCATGTGACTGTTGGGTGACAGGAAGACTCCATGATCCCTCCTTCCCTTCTCACTGCCTTGTCCCATGGAGTCATGACACAACTTCCTGGCCTGTAAATTTTTGTCTGTGTTGTGAACCACCTTGCTGGGCACTAGCAGGGTCCTTATGTCCCCCAGCCCCTTCTGTCTTTGCTTTTCCCACAGTGATGGGACGGTGGGTTTTCATTCTTTTGTCCCATCATCTTGACAGGGCTATGGTTGGAGCAAGTGCCTACAAAACCTGTGGTAGAGCCAGGACTGGAATTCAAGAGGTCCTCGCTTCCAAGAGTGTTTTTGTTGCTAATTAGTGCTTGTTCGCTTTCCTGCAAAAAGAGACTGATGGCACATATATATCACAATCTGGCTCTCTTAGGAGCGCTACTGTTTTTCTGCTGCTGTTTTTCATTCGAGAAGGTGAAGGGTCACCTTATTGTATGTTTTTCAAGCCAAAATGCCAGGAGAACATTGTTTCTTTCCTCACATCTTTGTTAAAAGTACCTTAGTGAGAGTAGAGGCTGGGAAGATTGCTTTTCTGTTTCTGGACACTTATCCTTGTGGAAGAGGCTTGGTCAGGATGGAGGAGCACTTGGCAGGAGGAGGGGAGTTTCTGGCATGGACACTGTTTTCTGCTCCTCTTATAAATGGATTCAGAACTGAGAATTCCAGGTATAAATATTGGAGTGACCCAGGTTGAATCAAGGAGGCGAGTTCACGGTGCTTGTATCTTACATACAGGAGACGCTGAATTATTAAAACTTTAATAAACGTAATAATAAATATTTGATGTTGAATTATGAAAGGTTTCACAGATACAGTGAAAAACGAAAAACTATTTATTATTTCTGCTTTAGAACTTAAACACTTCTCAAACGGGTATTGGGCTGCTAGCTTGGGGTCCTGAGCACCCTAAGTCGAGTGGAAACCAAGGTGATGCTGCCTGAGCAGAGCAGGATGGTGCAGAGGAGCTAATGCTGGGGCTGCTCAGGTCCACTGCAGTCGGTGAGAAGGGATGTTGCTATGTTTGGTGCTCACAGGCATCCTGTTAGCCTGTCTCTGAGAACCTCTTCTGAGGTTTTTTGATGCTTTCATGCTACAAGAAAGGTACTTTATAGGGCAGTTTATCTTACAGCCTCTTTGCTTTGTTCCTCTGGACTGAGACAAGTGTTGGCAGCTTCTCAAGGGAGCAGAAATGCAGCAGTTTTGGTGGTTCAGATGTCTGGTTGATGACCCATAATGTCAGACCCACCATTGGAGGTGAACACGTGCTTTCCCTTGTGTAGGTGTTCAAACACAGCCATCCCTCTGCACAGGCAGAGATCTCTTCCTCAGGCTGTGACACTGTGGTGACACTGCTGTCCCCCCATGCTGGCTGCTCCTGCGGGTGGTCCTGCAGTGCTTCAGCTCTAATACAATCACATCCTCATGCTGAGACGCACCTCTGGGCTGTGTGACACCAACTGCAACACAGCCACATCTCAGCACCTGGAGTGCCCTGTTTGCTGTCCTGTAATGCTGTGATGGTGGCTCTGTCATATATTTCTTGTATCTTTTTTAAAGAGCGTGCTGCATTCCTCCAGACCTTTCATTAGTCTGACACCTTTTGGCTCCGGGGTCGCTTGTCTTGAAGAGTTTAATGGAGGGAAATTGCAGAAATCCTGGTTTGGAGAAAACAGGTGACGAAGTCTTTACAGCTCCAAGGGTTAAAGGTTCAATCGTGGCTTTGCTTTTTTAAGAAGAAGCTTGAGACTGTGGAGGGGACAGGTGGGGCTCTGCCTTTCAGTAGCTCTCCAGAGAAACTCTGACTCCCTGCTGCTTCTCCGGAGGGATGCTCTTCTCCATGCTTTTCACCGCTGAGTGGTGCAGCGAGGTGTACGCAGTGCTTCGGTGGGTGGTAATGAAGGGCCCAAGCTTCCTGCTGCTGTAGCCAAGTTGTTAGAGATACTTCCTATAGACAGGAGCCAAAGGTCTATGTGCAAACATCCCACCGGGGATGGTCCCATGTGTGCTGGGGCATGAGTGGGGATAGGACTTCACATGCAGATCTTGGTGGTGAAGATTTTAGGGCTGTGTGTCATAAATTAAGCACGACGGTGCTCAGAGTTAATGAAACTTATATGTATAATTTATCAGCAACCACATTGAGCATCCCCGCCTCAACCCCAGAGTCTGATCCTCTGCAGGATGATAGCATCAGTCACACATCTGGGATTGTGGCAGCCACGCTCACGGTGACATCTTTGCTTGTGTGAGGTTGGCCAGTGGCACTGTGGGGTTCCCACCATGCTGGGAAGCCTCTGGCTTTTGTTGGAGGCTGCGTCCCAAGCTGAGCAGTTTGCTCCAGCCAGGATAAGAAATACCTCCCAGTCTCACCTTGTCTCGCTTGTTTTCAAGATCACTTTTTGTTTCCCTCTCCCCATTGCTCCCATCTTTCTCTCTTATCTGAATTTCTCCCATAACCTGGTGGTGAACACAGTAGCTTGTATCTTTTTTTTAAACAAATCAGTATTATGTGTTTAATCCTTCTACTGACCTTCCCTGGACACCTTGCAGTCTCTTTCTGGCCCTTTAGGAGGTACCACTTGTCCTGTGGGACCAGAAATGCTATAATTGCAGCAGTGTACATTGCTCTGCCCTGTTGGCAGTTCACGAGGAGGACCCGCACCTGCAGCCCCGGGTCCTCCTGCTGTCAGCACCAAGCATTCCTGTGGAGGATAATAAAAGCATCTCTGCAGGGGAATAATGAAAGCATCCCTTGGGGCACAGCTGGTTGCGGGAGGCCGAGAGCGGAGATAATCTGAGGGGCAGAGCATGGCACTGGCAAACTCCCGGTGGTCCTGGTTCAGCACTGCCACCCGCTCTGCAGAGAAGTTGATAATTTCTGGTGAGCAACTATAAATCAGAGGCGTGAGCCTCAGCAGCCGCCTGACATGACATATAGGTCTATCGTTATGGCAACCAGAGAAACAAATAAAAGCCTTGCCTTTGCTTGACAAGCCTTTGAGATGTCCTGATGGAGAGACAAGTGTTCAGCAGCAGAATGAATTCTCTTGAACTCGCTGTCGATTCATCTTCGTTTTGCTCCCAAGTGAGCCCCTTTGCTCTCTGAATTCTTTGCTAAAGCACAATCAACTGGGTTTTTTTTATTATTTATTTGTTTGTTGTTTTATTTTCCGTTCTCTTGGGGGCAGAGAGCTCTGATCCCCAGCCCTGTGCTCACACACATCTCATATCGTGTTGAGGACAGGAGCTGGGCTTTTGCTCCCTGCCTGTGGCTTTCTCTGGTTCAGCTGCACCGTGCCCTTCCAACACCACCACTGCCCCAGGCTTGCAGGGGTTTTGCAGTGATGTTTTCAGGGGTTTTGCAGAGATTTGGGCACTTTTGATTTTGCAAGTTGATGCTGAGCGCTGCAGTGTGAGGCTCCCTGGGAGCAGAGGAGGATGAAAAGTGAAGTAGATGAGAAAGACAAAGGGAATCTGGGCCAGGAGATGAGAAACAGCTTTGCCATGACCATGCTGTCACAGGAGCAGCAGAGATTATCTGCCCCATGCCTTAGCTTGATGCTTTATCTGTAGGAGTACAGGAAAATGGTGCTGCTGCAGGCAGGCATCACTGAGGCTCAGGGCTGGGCTGGTGATCAGGTGGCGGAGTATGGGCAGGAGCAGGCACAGAGCACCCTGCCAGCTCTTCTTGCCATTCAGTACACGAGATGCCATGGGAACTTGGTCTTGTTTTTCCCTTCTTTTCTGTCTCCTGCCCTCCTGGATCAGAGCAGACTGTGATTTTTGGATACTGGAGGGATGCAGGAGGATGGGGGACAGGGGAAGCCCCGTTTTCATCAGCAGGGACTTGCTTGTGGAGGCTCTGGCTCCATTGGTGCCAATAAAGCGGCTGCGAGCGGCTCTCAGCAGGTGCCTGTAATGAATGGATGGCTTCCCATGATGGAGCAAATTGATCATCGCATCACCAGGCACAACTTATTCATTTCTGCAAAGAGGGCGATTCATTACCGTGCACATCACAGAGACACCGTCATTCCCGCAGATAACGTCCCCTCTGCTCTGGCCTGGGCTTCTTATCATCCCCACACACCGTCGTCTCACAAAAAAAGTGGTGGAGAAGCATCTTGCAGTGCTT